AGCGCCGTGCGCGGTAGGCAGACCCGGCGCGCAGGTGTGCCCAGCGGGCTGGCCTACCCCGCCCGCTGGCAGGCGTTCGGCCTGCGAGCGGGGGGAGATGATACCGCTCCAACTGCTGGGGCGTCATGATGATAGGACGCTGAGCAGCGGCTGCGGAACACGGAATGTGATCGCTTCGCGTTGCGTTCAGGGAGTCTTGCCCAAAAGACGCGATGCCAGTGACGTGATAAATTTATCGTCATACTCATTTAATGGCGACGGGATATTTCGTGGCAGTCACAGTATAGTGTAGCGTCGGAAAGAACTCCTTTTTATCGGCTGCTGATACTGAACTTTTCTAGATATCGAGGGCAAATTAAAACAAAACGCTCTGTTAGAGCGATTTTTGCGAAATGACTCAACATGAGTCTCCTTCGTAACAGAAAATGTCGCAGAAACGACTCTAGAGAGCGACGTTTGCGAAAATGACTCAAAATGAGCCTTATTTGTAACCAAAATTGTCGCGAAAGGTTACTCCAAATGAGCGATGTAATATCGCTCCCCCAAGAGTCGTCAAATTGGATTCACAATATCGCTCTATTTGGATCGTATTTGGTCACTCCTTTACTTGTAGTGCAGGATGTTAGAGTGTTTGTTTCAAAAATTCTTGTGTCCAGTATCGTTCTTTCCGGACAACAACATAAAGAAAAACAGGACATTTTTCGTCCATAATTTCTAACAGTGAACCACGGCAAATTTTTCTTGGCACAACGCTCTGTTTTTGATTTCGGAAGAATTTTTGGATTCCGGAAAAATTCCATTTTACAATAGCGGCTTTTCTTGATGCACGGTGACGTAAGTTGGTTATGGTTGTAATTAACCGTCGCTATCGGGATCGCTAGGCCGCAAAGGTCCCACCGAGCTGAGCCGACAGGAAGTGCGTGTTCCCGCGCGGATGTCACCAGCCGCAGTATGAACCTTTGAACTATGAACCATCGCAAGACCGAAAATGCGTGTCTGAAGCCCGGGACGACGCGGGAAGCACTCGCCTTGCTAACGGTACAGGCGCGGGTGGTTGTGGCGCATCCCCGACCCTGCCGCCGTGTGGCCGCGAGGTGACGTGACAGCGGCCTGGACTTGTTGTGTGCGGACCGCTGTCTGTTTATGTTGTTGTTGTTGTGTGGGAGGAAGAACCGCAGCGGAAGCGCGAAAGAGCTTTGGATCGCGGAGCGGGACGGACTTTGTCGCGGTCCCCACTCTGTCCGACTCTGTCTTTCTTTTTTCCCTTCCCTCCCCTCCCCTCTTCTGATCTGTCTGCTGGTCGGCCTTCTTGCGGTCAAGGCGGCAGCGGAATCGGAGACGGCGTTAAATTCAGCTGGAAGGTGCTCAGTAGTACAGCCCTGACCCAGCCCGGCTCAGGCCAGCCCGCGCGGCGGTGAGCGCGGCGGTGAGCGCGGCGGTGAGCGCGGCGGTGAGCGCGGCGGTGAGCGCGGCGGTGAGCAGCGCGGTCGCCCAGGCCCGGCCCGGGCTTTCACCCCTGCAGTATGCGGAGAAGGGTAATTTGCCCGCCACGCTCGTATACGCAATGCGGTCCTGACCCGAGCAACATCGCGCCGGGGCAACGCACTCCGCTGCGAGACATTTTAAATGAGGAGAGTTTAAAAAAGCGACGCGGCAACTCGTCTCTCCGCCTATCTCTCCCCGTGCAGGGTGCGAAGTGCATCGCAATGCATTGCAATGCATCGCCCATAAGCGTAACGGTGCCTGTGGCGTGGCCGGGCGTGGCTTTCTCCTCACAGCGCCGCTGAGCGCCGCACACCCAAGGCATGTGCACGTCTTGCAGCACGCCATTGTCGCGTACGGAGGTTATACCACAAGCATTCGTCGCGAAGATTGTCGCAGGGCTCACCGTCGGCTCACCGCGTCAACTTTTATTTTCCGAACAAAACGATGAAAAGGTGCGCTCACCTCCTGGCTTTTGCAGCTGCGGCGCGCTCGGCGCCCGGCCCAGTGGTTCAGTGACCCGGGGGGTCGCGGGGCTGCCTATGGTGCGTCCGGCTGCCGCTGCCGCTCTTGCTTGATCGGGACGCGAAAATGGCGTTTCGCCTGATTTATTTTCGGCCCCATGCGGTGCGTGTGTGTACACAGACGGGGCGCTCCGCCTGCCAGTGAAGACCCTCGCCTTCTTCCTCTCTCTCTCTCTCTCTCTCTCTCTCTCTCTCTCTCTCTCTCCCCCCCTCTCGCTCTCCTGAGGAAGGGCAGGTGGAAAAGGGGGGGGGGGGGGGGGGGGGGGGCCGGGGGGGGGCTGGGGGCTCGTGTGTGCATTGAGTTTCATGCGGAGTTGTCTCATGTTTACGGACTCTCTGGCCTGGCCGGGTTACATATCCGGGGCCGGTGCTCCGCTCCGAGCCAAAAAGGAGAGGAAGAGACAGACCCCAGCCGATCCTGCAGCGCGCGGCAGCGTCCAGACGAGCTGGCAAACAGGCTGCTGGCCGCGCGGAGGGGCGGAGGGGCTCAGACACAGGGAACTCGGCCGCGACCGCCCTGCTGCTGGCTGATGGGCCGCATGTGTGCCCACTTAGTGCAGGGGGCTTGGGCTCCGATTCCAGGAGTCTTGCGCGGTCGCGGTGTCTTTGGCGCGGCGGCAGCACTTAGTGCGTGGCGGGGCGGGGCCCGGGTGCCCTGTGCGCGGCTCTGCGTGCGCGGGTTGCGCAACAGGCTCATTGGCCCTCCTCATTGGCTAAGCAGGCTGAAGCCATTGGCTCGGCAGATACCGGTAGCGGTCGGGCGACATGTAGTGCGTGCGCGCGAGCGAGCGCGGGGCCGTCGCATTGCGTATGCGCAGTGAAGCGGCATTTTATGCGAGATTTCATTGCCCGTCGTTAGGCGCTCGCAGTGAGCGAGCGAGCGGCAGGGGCGGGGCGGGGCGCTGCAGGCCGCGACCGTACGCACTGCAGGTCGCACACGAGCCTCCTGGCCGCGGTGAGGGCTGCACTTGCGTGGCCCCGTATGGCGCGGTGGGCCGAGTCGCCTGCTCTGTGTGCAGCCCAAGAGCGCTGACGGGACGGGGAGGGATGCCGTCTTTGGGACGCACGCACAGCGCGGCGCAGCGAGGGTAGGTAGCGAGGGGTCGTCAACTTCGATATTCCTCCGTGCACGGACTGATATTACCTCAAATATTACACCAATATTAGCCATATTACTGGTAATATTACCTCGATATTACACATTTTTCTAGTCTTATGACGTCACAGCTTAAAAATAGGCTCAATATTACCAATATTATTTGTAATATTCAATATTCCTCCGTACACGGCCAAGGAGAGTTGACGACCCCTCGGTAGGTAGACACAAGCGACCACCCCTTGGTCCAGCCGCAGCTGCTCGGCGGTAGTTTAGAACGGTGTCACTTCATGTTCATAAACCAAGCTCCCAACTTCACCCACCTACTGCCCCGAGTCAGACAGCAACCTATACAGGGTGCTTCACAGACCCCTTCGCCTTAATTTTGCTGAGACTGTACCGCTACCAGGCGTGCGGGCGGGCTTGACTACCGTCGCTCACCACGGCTTCTTATGGCTCCGTGTGAGCATGCAACCAGCCCACGTGTCTTCATGCGGTACAGTGTAAGCAAAGTACAATGGAAGGGGCCTACGGACCACCCTGTATTTCAAAAAAAAAAGAAAAAAAAGGTAAAATCCTCCGATTACTTTTTAAAGTAAATACTGTCGTATGAGCCGTGTGCAGCCGATCGGGTAAGAAGCTCTTGTCCTCGTCGGGGTCCTCTCGTGCGTCTTGGTCGTCGACCCGAACCCCTTGCCGCCGTGCCCTTCCCGGCGCCGCGGGGCACCGCCTGCCGACGGCGTTGCGTGGCTGTTGGGGCTTAACGGTCCCCGCTAACTGCCCGCTCATCTGCATCTGCCGCCCCGGCTGCTGAGCCGGGCTGCCGGCGGCGCCATGGGTGCCGGCCGCGCCATGGGTGCCGGCCGCGCCGCACCTCGGCCGACGACAACAACAACAGCAGCAGCAGCAGCAAAAACAAAAGAACAGGATGACTTCCCTCCTGTCGTAACCCCCGCTGTCTTCCCCGCCCAGGTGCGGCGCTGTGCGGCCGGCCCCAGTTCGGCGGCCAAGACAGCCGATATGGGTTATCGGCCAGCGGAAGCCGCGGGGGGGGGGGGGGGGGCGTGCACGGAGCGTCGCGCACGAGTGCCCGCGCCCCACGGCACAACCAGCTGGGACATTACCGGCTATAACTACGGCTCTGCAGTGTGTGACATGACGTCACTCCTCCGAAAGCTTTGTGCGACGAGAGTCGGTGTGCTCGTCTCGGACGGTAAGCCGTCGAGCGTCGTCCTGTGGCTGGCTGTGGGGCCGTCGGGATGTGTGTGGCCCGGGCGCTGGAAGTGTCCGCCAGGCTGTGCGCGGCGTGGGTAGTACCCGCCGGGTTCCGATCCGGTCCGTGACGCAACCGCACCCCGACGCGCCTCGCGAAAAGTGCGCGGCCAGGAAGTCGATCGGAAGTTAATAACGCGTGGGATGCGTCCGGAAACACGTTTGGGTCCCGGCGGCCCGGTCCGGCACGGCCAGCTGGCTGCCTGCGCGGCCCCGGTCCGTGCTGGTGGAGCGTGGCGGGGCGCGGCGGGGCGGGGCGAGGCGGGCCACGGGTGCCGATCAAACATTGGCGACGACGGCGAGTGCGCGCGGGCAACTCCCTGGGAGCCGCCTAGTCACGTGGGAACACGTGGCGTGGAGCTGTGCGATCGCCCGCACAAGTTGCGGAGGGCCGTTTATGAGCCGTGGCGTGGGCTGATTTGTTGTTGTTGTTTTTGTAGTGGCGGTGTGTGTGTGTGTGGGTGCGCGCGCGCGCACCCAACAAAATTATTACTTGATTCAAGAACTGACTTATTGCACTCACCGGATCTCGCATCGCATTTACGTATTTTTATTTCGCAGATGCAGTGAAAGTAAAAAGGGACGGATTACTAAAGCTGCACCTCTCTCTCTCTTTTTGCCCACAGGACTGCGCCTTACTGTCCGGCTGCGGAGCCTGCTCCCCTGAAGATGACGGTGCCTCCCGCAACAGCAGAAGGTAAGTGATGCTGCAGGATGCCGGACCCTCCGGGGCCCTCCGGGACCCTGCGGCCCGCAGCCGCACTGGGCCTCGAGGCTCAGAGGTCAGTGGGATCCCATTTCCAGGTTCAGGTCCGGGCGGGGCCGCGGCGGAGCGCAGCTGCCGGCGTATGGACCAGGGGCGGGGCGGGGCGGGGCGGGGCGGGGCGGGCCCTCATTAGCTAGTGGGTGATGGCTTGATGGAGATAGCCGGTCGAGTGGGGTACACGATCGAGCCGCGGTGGGGCGGAGCGCTTTTAGTTTGTGAGCGATCTTGTCGAGGCCGAGGCTAGGCCGGGCTAGGCAATGGGTGGTCAAGAGATCTAAAACGCGACTGCGAACAAGGTCTCTTTTAAATTTAAATTTAAGTTTAAATTTATACTTTTGTGGCAAAACAAAAGAACTACTGTCAGGGGGGCTCTGTGGCCCTCAGACCCCTTTCACTTTTGTTATCAAACTGTCCTGCATGCAATAGGGTGCAGGTCGGTCGGGGTGGGTTTGCCCCCTAACTATGGGCGAGTAAGCAAGCAACCCGGGTTGCGGCTGCCCGCTTAGCATGTGTCACTAAAGAACTAATAAAATAGGAAAAGTTGTGTCTGCGCGGTAGGCCACCTTCTACTATATTTTCTGAACTGTATTTATTTGAATGTTTGAAAGTGAGTTTATGTTTCGTCTTTGCATTTGCATGACTACTGAGCCCTTCTCTCTCCCTGGCTCACCTGTCCTGTCGTCCCTTTCACTGCAGTGTGCATGCACACGACAAGGGCCCCGCCTGCACGGCCGCCGGCCCGCCGCCAGCCCCAGGGAAGGGAAAGGGACACCGGCCGGGCCAAGGGGGGCCACGGGCCACACATAAGCCATGCGACAGGTGAACACGCCGGCAGGCCGCCCCGGGCCTGTCCTGCAGCCTGCGGGCGGTGCGGACCGGCCTGGGCACGACGCAAACCTCAACTGTTTGTTGCGGATAGACTTCAACTTTCAGAATCGGTAGATCAAGGTTGAACGTTGAACACAAAGGAGTTTTGAGGACTCGTTTTAAAATTAAGGGAGAGCGACGGTATGAAAGCTCAAACATATGGGGCTCGAGAGCGGCTCGCTCTCTTACACGTTTGCGCTCATAATTTATAAAATACGATGCGGATCGCAAATCAAAGAACAGTGTGCTGTGCTGGAAAGAGCACAAAACTTCGCGTCTACAGTCCCCTCAGTTAAATTATCGCTTGCCATGGCGAGCGTGTAGCGAACAAGGGCTTTCGTTGTAATGCTCTACGGATCTGAAATAAATCTGTGAGTATAAGCGCCCGTGGCGTCGGCATGCCTCGCTCTCCAGGCCGAATGGGGTGGCAGGGACCTAAACGCGTGTGCGGCCTGGAGCCGCTCAGCCGGTGCGGTGCCCTGCTTGTCCTCGCAAGTCTCGGTGAGGGTGAGACACCCTTACCGAGGTCGTGTGCGTGTGCGTGCGCCTGCAAAGCGTGCGTTACTGTCCCGTTGGCTCGGCGCAAAGAGGACCCGCGCACGACGCTGTCCGCGCCGCTGTCCGCGAGCCGCCGCGCCACGCTGCGAGTGAAATGTAGGTCGCGGTGCAGCGCCACTGCAGGCCGCTTGTGTCCTTTGTCTGCTACCGTCTTACGCGGCGTGCCCCCTGCCCCCTTTCCCCCCACCTCATGTCCACGGTCGCTAGGCAGCCCGAGCCACCGCCCTCTGTCCCTTTTCTCGCTCGCCCGCTCGCTGACTGCAGGCTCTGCGGCCATGACGGCGAGTTTAATATTTCACTTCGAAATGATAATGATAAAAATGAAATGTTTGAATGAGTATTTTGGCCATAGTTACAAAAATAAACCACACAAAGTGGTAATGTGACGAAGATTTATTGGGAAGTGGAAAGGAAACACACACACACAGACACACTCACAACATGCAATTGATAATGCGCTTAGACTACTGGAACGCAAAGTTTAGCCATTTGCCACTGATGTTTTTTCTTTCCCCCGCTTCGCTGCACAAACGATGTTCGCGTGGCGATTGATTATTAGTCATCTCCGGCCGTGGAAGGAAGACAGGGGTGGGGCGGCTTGTTCAGGAAGGAAGAAGAGGCGTAGAGTGTGTGTGTGTGTGGGGGGGGGGTGCGCCCCGGTGGAAAACGAGTGACGTTCCATCCGCCTATCTGTTTGCCCTGCGTACGGACAGGAGGCAGGCGTGTCTTAAGCTGCCCCCTCCCCGCCTGAGCTAGCCGCCCGTGAAGTAGGCAATTTGAGCTGCACAATCCCTTAGTGGAGGCAACTTGCTCTACGCCGCCCCCTCCCCCTCTGTCAGCCGACCGAGCGACAGGCGGTTGAAAGGAAGACGGACGGACCGACAGAGGGGCTTACTTCCACGTCATCCATTGCAGTTCTCTTCAATCGGAAAAGAAAGCACAGCTGGGAGGGCGCCGGGCTGTGGCGGCCGGTGCATTGTCTCCAGTCGGTCCCAGCCGGGTCCACCCGGAGCTTCAGCGGGGCCCAGGCCCAGGCCGAGCTGGGGTGGGGATAAAAACGTGACAGGTGAATAACGTGTCGCCACTCGGCGTGTCGCGCCTGTCGGTCGGTCCGTCCGTCTGCCGTCCGCCCGCTTGCAGGCGAAAGGGCCGTCCCCGCGACCGGATCCTGTAAAAGAGCAAGTGGCTTTCAATAATTTAATGCTCGTGCTATTCTCAAATCGCCTTCCTCCGGAGGCGGATGCAGCTTGCCTGCCTGGCCTGTGGGGACGCTCCTGTTTGGGTGCAAAAACGTCTCCTGGGAAGTGGGACGCCGGGGCGGGGCGGGGGACCACCATCGCACCATGTCCGACGGGTGGAAAGTCGTCATGCAACTTGGAGACGCGCGCGCCGCTCCAGATCGGCAGGTCCCGCCCCCTCCCGTCGATCAGGGCCGCGCCCGCCCCGCGCCGAGGGCTGGACGCACGAGAAGTAAAGTAAAACACCAAGAGCGGCGTTGTTTGCCGTTTTGTGTCCTGGCTGCAGGACGAAGGTCAGTGCCGAGGGTCGGGCCGGGTTAGGCGCGGTGGTGTGGTCGGCGCACTCCACCCACTTACCGCTGGGCTGGCGGGCGGGGCGGAGGAGAGGTCGCTGGGCGGACCGGTACGAGTTTCGGGATCGGCTTCGGGCGCTAGCTGGGCGCGGGCGCGAATGGCGCTGGCCGATGTCTGCGTGTGCGTGTCCTTTTCGGCACGCAGCGGCAGCCTCCTCGAATAAACAGCACCACCGGCGAAAAACACCTTCGGCGCAAAGTGTGCGATCCGGCGGAAGCCATTATACCGCCGCGCCTGCGCCTGCCGCTCTGCCGGCGCGGAGTGACCCCGGCGGCGCGGGGCGGGCAGCGGCAGCGGCAGCGGCGGCGCCTGAGCTCGGAGCTCGCTGACCTGGTTCCGCCGAGATTGGAGGAAACGAAACGGCGCAGCCGAGGGCGGCGGCGGGCGACAGGTCACCGCCGCCTTATTAACTGTTTGAAAAGGGCGCGGGGCGGCCAGGGGGGCG